TATATAATTAACTTAAGGTTCTCACTAATTAATAATTATTTATTTTTATTTTTTGTAAGTTGTTTTTGGTGCTTCAGCCTAATGTATTGGCATGTATACCCATTGTATTTGTAGGTACCTATGTAATAATAGGAGGAGTGTTATCTTTAAAGACTTTGAGATTTAACTTTTAGTAGGAATTATAACTAGGTATTTATTAAAAATTGTTTTTTTATAAAAATACACATTAGTATTATTTATTTTTCACTAAAATAAGTTGTATTCTTCTACATAATTTGTTACTAAGTTGATTAAAAAAAAGTTACTATAAATAGGAATACTTGTCACACCCGGTGCGAAATAAGTGATTAGATTACAGACCAAAAATATAAGAATACTGTTAGAACACAGAGAATTAAGAATAATGAGCGTGTTGTTAAAAGAAGTGTGTCTGTCAATATGGTAAACTCTAACCTAACAAGGGCACTGCGTCAGAGGATTCTGGCAACACTTCTGCCAACCGCAATAGATAAACTACTTGTGAAAGCAGTATTGCCACACCTGTAACACAAATAATGTTAAAAGTAACCGGTTTTTGGAACCATATTAACTTACTAATTATGTGAGTACATATTTATTAATAAATCTATGACATTCCTTAATCTATATTTAAATTCATCGCGGTTCCATTATCTTAGCCACGAGTTTATAATATTGGATGGGAATATTAATATCTTATTAACATTCATTTATGTTTCTCGTATAATATGTTCTTCATAACACCAATAAATATTTTGCAATTTTGATTTTAAGGTATTGATTTCATATTTAAAACCAATAAGTAAATATCACATTATTTTGTTTGGTTAAACATTTTTAATAGGTATATTAAGGTAGGTGTTACAGTTTTAATGAAATTCGTTAGTAATACTGATATAAATTTACTTATACCCATTATATTATCATACTTTATTTTAACTCACAATAGTTAATTGATGATTGTATTTTTTATTTGCTGTAAAAAGTAGTTACACTTATTTTAACAAATTAATCTGATATTTTTTAAGTACATGAAATAACTGACGTCTTATCTGATACCTATCACAAGCTGTATTATTTTATTTTGTTATTTTATGCCTATTTTTTTTTTAATTGATGAGAAAAGGCAAACAAATACAATCACAAACTGCAAATTCACATCGATATTAATATGCAAAAAGACACACAATTATTATTGTTCAAAGAACAAAACAAAAATAAATATGTAAAAAATGTCTAAAACAATAACAAAAGAGAGAAAAGTGAAGTGAGAAAAAGCACTCGAGCGAAAGAATCAAATGGAGTATAGTAGGTACACCAAGGCAAAGCCGTATTAAAGTGTTTTATTATTGAACTATTTATTATTTATTGTTGTGAAACAAGTAGGTACATAAGCTTTTCCAAGCATACGGCTCGGCCTCTGGTGTTTCGTTTATATAAAATAAAAATCGTACAAAATCAATTAAAAGAAGAATTAAGTTTTTTTACAATACATAGTTTACTTATTAGTTTTAAAATGAGAGTACATTAAATTATAATATAACTGTTAGGTTATTGTATAAGCAAAACAATTAAGTTATAGTATTGTGTGATGATTTTGTTAAAACTTAAATTAAATGTTCACACATAATATTTAAGATATACGTAAATAGTGTTTATTAGAAACACTATTTTAATCGAAATAAGATAGAAAATAATACATTAATATGCTAATTTATTTAAAAATATAATGTAACAATGTATTTTAATTTGTGATTTTAAATAAAATTTTTGATAATTGCTTAAGACCTATATCAATATGAATTATCTACTATAATCATTGTTCTATGTTTTTGTACGATTTCTTGTTATTATTCATTCAAATGGTAAACAATATAAAATATATATTCTATTCAAAATATAAATAGATAGATAAAATTAAATTGTAAACATCACTAACTGTCACAAGATTTATTTTTATTTGGGAGGAATAGGGTATTTTATGGTACCTAGCAAGGGTATCGCGTCGGAGACTTGTGGAAGCGTTTCCGCCACCAAATTCAGGAACACTGTCAGTGATAGCAAGATGGTCACTCCTGTAACAACCAATTTATTTTTATGACCTAGAAAAATACATCTGGGAACATTTTTTTGATAAAACAATGTTTTATTTAAAATTTAATAAAATGGTTTTCCGACTAACATTAATAATTGCATTTTATAATATAATATAGTATTTTCGAATAGGTATAGGTAAGTAGGTAATGTATTGCTTGTCCAACGAAGTGGTTCCTCCAAGTATCAAATGACAATGACACATGTCATCATGCAAGTTGATATTTTTTCTTAGTCCTACCTATAAGGGGAACCGCTTCGGACGTGGTTGGCATTGACTCGGCGACCAGATTCAGAAATACTGTTAGTGACAGTAGTATAGTTATTTCTGAAATTAACACTTTGATTATTTTTCCTAATCTGCTTTCCTGGTTGTTTAAATGATCCATATGATTAAATTTCAAACTGTACTTAGTCTTCAAAAATAGATATTTCAAAAAACATAAAATAGAATATATTATGATTATTTTCTTATACTTATGAAGTAAGTTTTTTTTTTTTTTTGTACAAAATGTATTTTAAATTAACACATTATACTTTATAGAAGAACAGATTTTTATAATTCTATTGTAAAACATCGGATAAAACGGAAATCATCAAAATGTATGTAGGTATATTGTATTTATTTATGTAAATGTAAGGGTACCTAAGTACTATATTTTAAACCAAACCCTACAGAAACCTATTCAATTTATTATGTGAGTTAATATTTCAAAATGTTGATATATTCTACAGCATAAGCTAGCTGTAGTAGTCAGACGGTGATGATGGTAGTTGTCGGTAAATAACTAAATAATATGGGTAAACCTAGGAAAATAAATTAATTGTGGCCTATAGCTGATCGAAGGATTTGCTGGAAACACCGTTTACACGTAAATTGAATGCATTGTATAGGCACAAAACTGTTTGTTTATTGCTATAAGTAAAAAGTACCACTACCACATTTCCGTATCTGATAACTATCAGGAGAATAAATCCATTAGATACTCGTCACGGCACTCTCGCTGATATAATATTATGACGTCCATATTATGCTGCTAAGGATTACACGTACATATTACCTATTATTATCAACATAGTCCGGAAATCCTTGTATCCATTGTCTGTGTTTATTCAGGCGCCGGTGTGAAGATCAAAATAATATTACTATCTCGTTTTTTTTTTATTTTTATCCTTCAACGTCTATTTGTACCACCTCCTTATCTCTCACCCCGTCAGTCACACAAAAAAAGCCATAGACATATTAACTAAAGTTAAGTTAAGTTAGTTAATATGTCTATGAAAAAAGCACTCTCACACACCTTTTAACCTCACTGTGCTCCTCAGTCCGCTGTAATAAAATGTTTGTTGTCTTTGTTTCCGGTTTCTATATCGCGTTCTTACCTAGTGTGAGCTTTTCGCCGCAGTCCGGTGGCAGCGTAAAGCCCAGGAGAGCCATCGACGAGATGAGCACGCACGGCACGATCAGGTTGAAGAAATAATACAACGTCCTTCGTCTAATCTTTATGGTAAACGTGATGTCCACGTACGGTTCTGGGCAACAGGCGTAGTTTATCACGTTCTTTTTTCCAGGCATACCTGTAACGTGCAGTTTCGTTGGGTATTGTAAACTAGGTATATAACATTATAATGAGTGCACATCAGTAACACGGTTGAACAGTAATGATCGGGACTCGATATTATGCATTTAATATAATATGAACTTATAAGAGCTAATAATATGAACTTACAATCGGTAGACCTACAACTGGCTATACGCAACACCTACTAGTTACCACACTTGTTAAGTAGGTTAACCTTCATTAGAATACCTGTACATAATGTACAGTACATTCGTACATTTTAAAATTACAACTAGGCTTCACGTGTTTTTCATTTAAAATGTAATAAAAAACGATATGCATAAGTTATTTTAACTAAACATAGAAATAATATATTTACAAAATCCTAAAGTGGGCCAAATATTTTGTTTTTCATGTTTTGTAGTGTTAAGAATGACAAAATAAACTGTACATTTTCTTAAATATTGTGGCCTGTGCACATCAAAACATTATCGGTTCTAAAAATGTCTTGGAATGTTATATTAAACTCAAATATTATCGGTTGTAAATACAACTGTCAAAGGTTTAAGCTTTTTATTTTCTTATTCTATTGCGTTAATTATCATCGAAGGTAAATTAGCAATCAACCATAAGAGGATTTCGATTTAAAAGAGTATGGTTATAATTATTATATTATATTGATGTAAAATATTTTGTACAATATACTACGTTCACACTCAGTAGATATTATATTGTTATTAAAAAAAGAAAATGCAATCTCGTTAGACATTATTATACGGTTATTTCAATATAATGTATTTTTAGAGTTTATTTTATAATACTAAGTACTTGTTCATAAAATAAACTTTACTCAAATAATTGTATTATTGTAACAAAGAAATAATATGATTTATTAAATACAAAATGGTTATATAGGTAAAATTAAATTTTTGAATTTCTGTTGTTTTTTTTTTCAATTACTTTGTATACAAATGACCTTGTATTTCATGGTTCTTAGTCAATAAAGTAACATCACACTTATGAAACATATTATTTGAAAGAATAAAGTATTAATTTACAATATTTTGGCTATAAAATTATGTTTTAGATTGACGATATACATTTAGAAAATATTTGTCATATAAGATGGCGAGGTCTTATGGTTTTTAAGAGTGATTATGCAGCCATATTAGATGCTGGAAAGTATCAGTGTTATGAAAGTAAGTTGGTAAGTATTGAATGAGCTTGTTTTATTTTATTTATTCTTATACCTAATCTATTAATTTGTTATCTATGCATTATGGACTATAGAATGTTCTTTTTTTTTGTTGTATAACGTTTAATTTAAGTGTATTAGACATTAGTTAATTGTTGTAATATGTAAGAAATGAAGACCGTTAATTATTATTATAATTCGGGTTGGAAGTGACATAATATACTTATTAGTGGACTGTGGAATTGCTCCTATTTAATTGAGTAGGTATTATTAACTAGAATGTCGTCGAAAGCGAAAGGAAATTAGTTTTTATAGTATCATTATGACGCATCTCAAGAAGTTATATTCGACTTATAACTTTCTTCATACAAGCTTGTAAATAAATATAATATATTTGAGGAAAAAACTCGAAAAAGTTATTTTTGCTCATTAGTCATTATATTACTATTATACATGTGTATTGGATTATACGTTCGATTGAATAATGGATATTTCTTGCGTTATGTTTTATGTAGATTTGTGTTTCTCAACCTTGGACAAACCTAGGCATCCTTGGGTATTTTCTAGAAATCCCGGGACACCTTGCAATAATAAATTCAATTTTATACAGTTTTTGAGCTTCATAAATGAACATATATATGTTACACTATATTACACTAATATTACACTTCAACAATAAATTATAAAATATAAGGTAACGCTAGATTTGAAAGGCGAAACGATTGTTTTATATAGTTGTACAACCTAACACACTTTTATTAATTTAAAACAAATTAAATACTTTCAACTCTAAATTTTCCATCGTCTATTCACATCTAATCCTAGTTCACGGCCATGGCATGACACCCCTGGCGGTATGGCATGGCTGAAGGAATCACTGAAGTAGATTAAAGACGACAATATTATGATAGTTCCTAAATTAAGTGGTTTAAGTAATAAAAACCATGAATTAACTGCAATGTAGTGATAAAATGACCCAAGTGCCAGATGCAATAAGACATACAGTAACAGTATCAACAATACATTTAGAACATAGTGATAGTCTCGTACAATGTTAGGTATTGAAAATGTAGACTGTTCATTTCCTAATAATACAGAGTGTACACTATAATTTTGTTTGCACATGATATGGTCTCACTTGCCTTACACGTAATCTACCTATTCTATGATTAAATTACAAAGAACTATTTCTATATGCTTAATTAAAATTGATAGTTCACATTTTTAAGTATACCCTTTCATAAATATTAGTTTTATTGGATGGTTAACATTTTTTATGTAAAATAAAAATATATTTATGTGAATAAAAAAATGTTTATTTTATGTTAGTCGAATAAAACAAATACTCTACTGTGGAAATTATAAAAAAATGTGACATTTTAATTACAATAACATTTTTTGAAACATTTTAATTATAAAAAAAATAATTAATTTACTATTTAAAAAATAGTCGAGGAACCTAGACCATAGCCAAAATAGGCTAACTCATAAAAACTGGTATTATATTAATTATATTTTATCAAATAATGTTATAATGTTATATTTCATGGACCATACTCATGAGTTGTGTTATAGACAAATTAATATTAAGGAAAACATTAAATTAGTCAGTTTTAAATCATAAGTTATAATTATTTGAAACCATATGAAATTATATAAATGCTTATAAAAAACAATAATTGTTATTACACAATTATTGTGTCTATGTATTTTTAATATTTTTAAACTGTTATTGTAAAAATATATCAAGACCCTTTCATTAAATCTTCAAGCTTTTTTACCCAAAAAATACATTTTTATTGATATTTATAGGAAAAAAAAAACTAAAAAAATGGAGATCCGACAATATCAGTTAATAGTTCAAAAAGAGTCAAAATATTAAAAAAATATTATGGTACATAGAAAACGAAAATATAAACATTCAATAGAATTTTCATGTATCTACAGTTCTTCGTTTTTGAATAACAACAAAATAACAAAACCACTACATGAGAAATCAAGTGAATATAAAATATTGTAAAAATATGAACTTCAAACATTCATAAAAATTTAATTTGATTTGCTTGTAGACATTTTTTTTTGATAAAGGTAGACAAACTTATGAATAATCTTGTATACATTTTCAAATCTTAGATTTAAAAAGAAAAAATTTTTATGAATTCTCAACTCAAAATAATTTGCTAATTTTCGTGAATTTTTCGTATTTTGTCAAGATTTGAACCTTAAATTGTGACTAAGAATTTTATATATTTTTCAAATGTCATTGTAATAATATAATAGGAACCTTGTATTACATTTTCAAGCTTTTTTTATTCAACATATAAAGTCTTATTGACATTCATAGCAAAAAAAAAAACTAAAAAAATTGGAAACAAAATGTCTGTAAACTGCTCAAAATAAAAATGTTATGGCGTACCTATAGAAAATAATAATATAAAAATTTCATGTACCATTGGTTATTTAAAGTTACGCCAAAAACCAAAATAGATTTTGATTAAAAATCTTAATTTTTCTTTTGTTTTTCACGGCACTTTGAAAACTATTGAGAATTTTAAAAATTGAAAATGTCCGTAAACAGCTCAAAACGAGTCAAAATATTTTGAAAATTTTATCTGGAAATATAGGAAATGACAATATAAACATTTGGTGTAAATTTCAAGTATCTATACTGATATTAGTTCTTGAATAAAAACAAAATAAGAAAATCGTTGTATGTGAATTGGTTAACATCTAATGTAGAACTTAAAACACTAGTAACAATATTTAACTTGATTTTCTTGTAAAGTATTTTTTCCGGTATTTTGTATGTTAAATGTAGAAAAACTTAAGGGGAACCTTGCATTTTATTTTCAAAACTTTAATATAAATAAAAAATTTTTTATGAATTAATAATTTCAAATAATTTGCCAATTTTCTCGGTTTTAATGAATTTTCTCAATATTTCAACTTCAGACGCTCATTTATATTATTGTGGATTTAAGCTCAATTTTTTTTTTAATTTCTACTAATTACAACTTATGAAGAACGTTTTTTTTTCTGAGTAATGAGTATAAAATATCTTATCGACAATAATTTAAATATTCTAATAAAACTCGTCATTTTCTTTTACGTATATTATATACCTCTAAAAGAGTAGCAATATTTCTAAATTTTAAGAGCTATACACCATAGACAAAATCGTTTTTATCGAAATACTGATTTTGCGTAAAAATTCCCGTTTTTAATTTATTTTTTTTTGTTTTTCCAGGCGCTTTTTAAAACTACAGCAAATTTTAAAATTTTACCCTCCAAATGCATAAACTAGATAAACTTTCTCATCGGAAAAAATTGTGATGTTGAAAATTTGTATTATTTGTATTATTTCGAATACTTATCATGTACAAAAAAAAACCACACATTATTGTAAAATCAATACATTTATCTTTCCGCTTAGAATCTTAAATATGAGTAAAATGTATAAATTGATAAAAAAATTATCTATGAATGCTGTTCATGATTATCTTGAACAGTAAATAAAATAATCATCGTGAAGAAGTTAGAAGTTATAGAATATTCTATGTATTAAACAAACACATGGTTTTGTTAACTTTTGGAATGAAAAATGTAAATAAATATTTTTTATTATAAAGTACGTACAAACAATAATGGTAAAATATCCTTATTAGGAATGATTAAATTACACTATTTATTAAATGCTGATTGTCCTCTTTAATAATATATGACTTGATAGTTTTTGCGAAAGACCAAATACCATTATTCATAAATAATAAAAGTTCAATGAAGTGTATACTATAAGATAAGAACCTAACCTATTAAATACCGGAATTTAGACACACAGAATGTCCAGTGTAAGTTTCTAAGACATTAAAGTTCTATGTTTGTATTTCAATCATAGTGTAGTTTCTAAAAAATTTAAAAATATATTTAGTTGATCGAATCCACAAAGAAGGATTCTTTTGAAAGCAGAAAAATTATGGTTAAAATCAACTTATAATTTTGTACTACAAAAATACTCATATAGTTAAATTTATTATTATTTATTATGATTTTAATTAATGTTTAGCTAACAAGGTATTACATATTTTTCTGAATTTAATTTCTGTTATACATAAATATTTAAAACATTCTAAACTAAAATAACTAAATTGATTGTATAGGAATTAGGAACAAAATTTTTTTTTTTTTGGTGATATGATCATACGCAGTTTTATTATTTAGAACTTAACAATGCACTTAACTACATTAGCATACAGTTGTACTTGATTTACAGTTGAAAATGAAAATGAAAAGTAATGCTAGTGCCATACCCACTTTACAATGTCATATTTTTAATATTTTTCTTTTAAAATTACATTTTTTGTTACTATTAGAATCATAATATTTAATGACAATTTGTTAAATTATACTTAGCTACATAATTCGACCATCTTAATATTTTTAGTAGAATTAAAATATCTTTTGTAATGTGGTGATTATTCAAAATTTAATTTTGTGTATAATAATAATTTACTGGCATACCATTAAAATTGTTTTAATTATATAAACCAAGAACAAACAAAAGTTATACACAAAAAAATTAAATATAAATAAGTTTAATCAAAATATTTAACTTATTGAGATATTTTGTATACCAACATAATAACTTCATTGTACTCTACTAATCATCAATATTTACATAATATATTATATATATATTATGTTAAGGCCCTCATGGTATTATCGAATATCTTAAATAGTTGGTGACTAAATTAAAATCTTTTACGTAAAAATAGAATAAATTACAAGTATTCAAAAATATCTCTTGCCCCAACAAAAAGAAATAAATGGCTTATTAAACTCTGTTTTTAAAAATATTATAAACCAATGTATAGAATTTCTTTTCAAATAAGCGAGTAAAAAAAATTAACAAAATTTAACTGAATCATGAATACTGTATGAAATACTCTTTTTAAAGAACATAACACTGTAATTTAAAATAAATTATTCAAAATTGAAACCGATTTGTGTACGTAATATATCTTAAGAACTAAAATTTAAAACACATATTATTATAAATAAAAATATATTATTTTTAAATTTGCATTCCATCAGATATAAGAAATTAGACCATAACAATATTCAATGCATCTTTATTAAATGAAAAAAAAGTACTAAAAAAATCATTAAAAAGGGATTTTATTTCAATCAGTTTTCAGTTTTTATTGATGTATTAATTATCATTATAATTAAAATTTAAAAAGTTAATCTCATTTAATTCTTTCATATTTTAGTTTTACTATAAATTGATTTTTAAAAATCAGTTATTTTATTAGACTATATTTTAACATTTAACAAAAAAATTTTATTAAACTATTTATGTTTTATATTACATACATTTTTGAAATTGTTATCATTACATTTGGTTATTACCGGAATGTTTGGGGTTGGGAGAGTATTATATTAAATTTAAATGCATTAATAAACAAATAAATATATAAATATATATTATGATTTGTGAAACATGGTACGAGTGAATGACATAGGTAACAATGAAACATACACAATACACATACTTTATTAAATGCTGGTTATTGTTTGAGCGAAATTATTTAAAAAATAATACATGTTACAGTCGATTAATATACAAAGAATATTAAATTCCTAGAGAATTATTTAAAAATTAAAGCTGACTGTTATATTTTATAATTTAAAATCATATTAAATTGGTTATTTTAATTTTTAGTTACCTACTAGATTAATATGACGTAGGTATATACTGTGAAATGTTTTGATAGAGTTATGATAAATGCAAATATTCACAAGGACATAGTGGTTACAGACGTTTTAATGTTTTGTTGTTATATTTTTAATGTTCACGATTTTGCTGTAAGTGTTATTTAGTTTTCTATGTTTTTTGTTCGGTGAAATATCTCACTAATAAGGACACAGAATTATGTCTATTTTTATTTATTACTCTATAAAAAATTTTTTTTAGAGAAACTTTGTAGTTTGTTAACATGAATAACATAATTTATTAAAACATGAGATTAGCGCTTTATGACTTATAAAATCAAGGCTACAAAGAAGTTAAAATCCCAAAACTATAGCGTACCTATTTCTTCATCGATTCGTTCGCATGTCTATTAATAATATAAGGTTTTCAGTTTTTAACACTGAGTACCTATCTATACCAAACGTATTCCATTCAAATGTATATTTTTTACTATAATATGATTGTGAACGGACGTACGGTACTTGTTACCTTTTTTTATAACATGATTCCGCAGTTCTTAAATTTATTTTATTTTTGTCCAATGTTGCCGAATTTTATGAAATTTATAAAAACCGTATGTAATAAAATTATCAAAATAAAATGAATCTATGGAACAATACACAGTCCAAAGAACTTCCACAAAACGTACAATCGCTTTTATTAATGAAGATTCAATTAAATATTCAATTAAAATTATAAATACGTATACGATTCACAAACATATTTTGAAGTTTTTATTTTCAATTGGTTATAAATTATAATAATATCTTTCAGAAAATGTTTATTTAAAATGGAACAATGCTTGACTAATGACCATTATGGCACTGATTATTGAGTACAAATAATTAATTTGTCCCCTTAAAATACGGATGATTTTTTTTTTAAGCTTACCAATAACATTTTATTTGATTGTGTTATTTTAAAAATTGTATAATTATAAATTTAACAACGTTGGAACCTATTTAGTATACCATCGTGTCGTATTTAATGGGTCAATTGTTATTTGACAATTAATATACGTTATAGTTTTCCCAAAAAGGTGATACGTAGCCATGGATTCTACCATTTGCTTTTTTTTTTTAGTTTTAAGCTTTTCTGACCAAATTTTTAATATTTCACAAATTATCTATAATTTAATAATAATAGCAGTTATTATTATAATTTTTAATATATTCCTAAAATTATGGCATGAACCCCACACATTATTTTATGTTTGTATATATTTTTTATACTTATTCGTATGGGTACTTTAACGAAAAGATTTTGTTTGCTAATATATAATATTTTAGAACGACTTTGGCCATTTTTCATATTTTTTTTTTGTAAAAATCACTAAGTATCATTATTAAGTGACTGATAAGTAATTACTATTATAAAATATGTAGTTATTTATTATTACAGATAAATGTATTGATAATGATTTTTTAAATATTTACCTAGCAAATACCATTCACCGTTCGTTGTAAAGTCCGATAGATCGCCACCATCTGATTTGAGCACTAAATCAATCTGAAAATATAATTTTTAAACATAGATGAATTCACTTACCAAAAAATTACATAATATACATATTATTTAATAAAATAAAATAAAATATACCTAAATATTACCGATTTTATTGGTTTATATTTTCATTTGGTACATTGTTCAATAAGTATATTACTTTTGTATTTTTTTTTCAATTACTTTACTTAACAAAAAATATCCTGTACGATTTAAGAATAAAATCAATGGAATGTAAATTTTAAAGGAAATAATTGAATATTTGTATATGTGAATTTATTTTTTTTTTAATGAAAATGAATAAATTTATATTGATTTTCTTATGAATTCAAAACATTAAAATATTGATATTTTTTTATTTAACAATCACGTAGGTACCTATAGTCTATTTATATATAAATATATAATAATAATAATAATATATATTATATTAGTTGTTTTAAGTTGTAAAAATTATCATTCCGTAATATTTGTCAGTACCTAGATGATTATAATCTATTCATTAATTTTGGATGGTTTTTAACGTAATTATAATTTTAAAAAAGGTACATTCAACGAAAGCGTAAAAAATGAAAAGTATAATATGCAACATGAAAGTGTAATAAAAATGCAAATTCATTGATAACAAAAGAAATAAAAAAAGAGATTTTTAACAAGTTATAAAGACCCTTTTCCCATATAAGCTCAAAAAGCGATTTTAATTAATGAAAACAATTGTACTTTTTTGTTTAAGATTTTTTAGATTCTAACTATATTTTTTATACAATTTAACTCGAAATAAACATCATTAACCATTATAAGTAGGTTATGTAACAAAAACATTTAATACAGAACAATAATAGATAGGTAACATAAACATCAGAGGAAAAATTAATTTAAATAATAATAATATTGAATATTAAATATTTACAGATACCTATACATATTGGTAACATATCATTTTATTCAAGCGAATACAAAATTGCATTAAAGAAAATTAATGAGTTTACCTGAAAACCGTTGTATGTCCAACTACCAAACTTCATAAGGCAATTTTGGTCATCAAATGGGAACCATGTGATGTCGATCTTACACGTACTTTTGAAAATACCAGGTGGCACGTACAGGCATGTACCATTGTGCCTCACTACCACATTGGTTTGATAAGTACCATCAAATTTTTCGTCGGCACTATAAGCATTAAAAAAAAAAAATACGGTATATTTTAGTTAATCTCTGGTCACTTAAACTATGGATAACGAATACATTGTTAATAATCGTGATCAACTAAATATTAACTAAATATCGAAGTGTATAACGTATCTGATTTAATTGTTTTTCAATATTGGAATAGGGAAAATGTAGTAATAAGAAATACTTTATAAAGAATGGAATAAAATAGGTAGGTTACCTACATATTGGTTTTCAAATAAAAGGTTAAAAACCAAAAAATTTTGATTAAAACATATAACACTAATTAATAATAAAATATAACTGTGAGCTAATGACTCATTAAATATTTCTCTATCTATCTATATGTAGATTCGAGACAAGCGAGTATTTTTCCCTGAATAAAATGTATTTTAGTGGTGAATAAAGGATATAATTAATTATAGTATTTTGATTAATGTTGTGAACTAAAGATAAAGAAATATGTAAAACTGTAAGGTACACGAATTTAATAAAAATTGTCTCATTGCTAGTTATAAAATATTATATTATCTATAATAATTGTAGGTACTATAATTTAAATCTAGGTGTAGATAGCCAATATCAAATTTCGCACATAAAGATGTTTTTTTAACTACATTAAAATATTGTAATATGACCTTTAAATGTTTTTCATTATAACATTTATAAGTACCTAATTTGAATTTATTTATTATAATTTTTACTTAATGTCATAGATGAAAATCGTAAATGTAATATGTAAATAACCATAAGGTACGAGCATTTTCCTATTTATTCCTTACATAATTTTCATATTACTTTTGTACTTTTGTAACAATATAAATAATAAATATTATATATAAATGCAATCTCGTATTTTCAATAATTGCAGATATAATATCTAAAAATCATTAAAATAATTATGAAACATTTTTCAGAGTGATTTAAGAGTTCGTTTAATTTAAAAAACAGTGGAAGATTTTTAATCTGTTATAACATATTTATTTTTATTTTATATCCAAATGTACCAAATATATCGTATAAAATGTAAAAATAGCGTGTATAATATTTTCAATAATTGTGCTGAATTTCAGAAAAAAAATACCGAAAAAACACGATACCTATGCGAAAAAAGTGTTTATATTCTGTGTTTAAAGTTTTAAACATCTTAAAAGATTGAAAAGTATACGACCAAATTTGAATTATTTATCATTGTTTGAAAGTGAATCAAAATGTCGGATAATGTTTATATTTTGTATCCACAGTTTTTATTTTATTAATAAATTTCTGTTTATAAAATAGGTATGTGATTTGTATAATATAATCAACATACTTAGGCCTAAATAAAATTATCAGTGATTAAAAATTAATACCTTCTGCAGAACCTGTCGGCCATTACCATTTACCATCATTAGACTTAGTAAACACTGGGAAACTAAACGTGATTTTTCATAGTGTCATAATTTCCAATATTAAAGATACACACTTAATTATTGTGACTATAAAACCACATCGTAGTATGCATGAAGATAACCATATCATTAGTCGTTAGTAAAATATTTACAGACCAACAGTGTACTTTTAATGGGTATCCACTCGTTTATTCAAAATTATGTATCTGGTTATAAAATATAACCTAACTATAAATCATTACTCTCCAAACAAAGATCAATCAATTTGAGACTATATCTATAGATATAACTCCTAGGAGTTGTCAAATGCATTATATCGTCGTCAATCCACTCATCTTTGAAATGCTTTTATCTTTGAATTTAATATTTTCACCCTTGTTTTAAATTTAGTTGTACTTTTACTAAAGTTACAGGCTTAAACTCATTTTCTGTTTACTGAAAATGGTTTCCCTTTTAAATGTATTATATACTTATACTAGTAAAATTAATTTGGTAATGGTCCAATACTCGAAGCTACAAATACATTTTTAGTGAAATGAAACTGCCTACAATTTGTATGGTAAAATGTGAGGCTAAAGAGTAAACAATTATGATATACAAAATTTAAATGTACATCTAAAGTAATATAAATATAAATTTAGGTAAAACAATGATGGTTTTATTTTTGTAAGACTCTTTTGACAATTTTAAAAATTAAATTAATTCAACTTGGGCATACATTCACAAAACTGTAAACACTCAGAATTTATATTGATCCGGAAACAAGAGATCATTCGCAAAATACATTGTTAATTTTAGATATAAAATTCATATTTATCTTTAAAAACAGTGCTTCTCCTCTATACTAGATTGATAATTGAAGGAATAATAGTGGAGATCCTGCCATCAAAACGTAACTGTTTTCGACAACTTCTTGGCAAACTACTTTGGAACGAAACTTTTTGTCGTTAGAAAAATGAGATATAAATAATTTTGATGACTTCTAAACTTGTATGGAATTAAATTTTAAGGACGAGTTCTTAATGTTTTTATACCTATAATTTAAACTTTAAAAAAAGTTTGGTCTAATATTCTTCACATAATTTAATATTATGTTGAACGATACAAATTGTAGGCTAGAAATGTATTTGCATAATTACAATTATATACAAAATATTGTATGAAATTGTGTATAGAACACTTATTGAACGGTTACCAATTTTCTCAATTAGATATTAATCTGACATGACAATGAAAAAATTGTAAATATTTTTTATTTTAATTTGTACGCATATATTGTCTAACCTAATTTAAGATTATTTTTCGTTTACCTAATAATAAATTATTAAGAAGTTTTAGAATTGTAAAAAATATATTTACACAAAAATTTAATTTTATAATGATTTTAGTTATTAATAACTCTATACTGTAAATAAAAAATGTTATACAATAGCATGACCCAATGTTAACCACAGGAGGAAAAAACCTACTCTGACTTTTGAATGGAAAAATATACACTCTATTAATAACTTAATTCAACAAATTGACTTCATACTGAACTGCTTTTGCAAAGATGATTAAAAATAAAATATAGATTAATTTAACTATTATAGAATAATTTAAATTGATTAAATTATAACGTTTGGAATATTTAAATGAAGGAACTGGTTAAAAAAAATAGTTAAGAAAATAAGATAATATTGACTATTGCAAGAAGTACCTAAATGCGATTGTTCTTAGCTATAGCCTATACGTATTCAAAGTATTTAATTCTCCTGTAAATTGTTTTGTGAACAAAAGCCACATCATTAAGTAACGTCTCGAGGACAATGTAAGTAAATTACAGCACTTAGCTACATTCTCTATATTGATTTTCCTTAAATACTTATCTCAAATGTCATCATCCTTAGAAAGTTCCTCATAGTAGTTGTTTTTTATCTTATCACATTAATCATTTACCCAATGGAAATACAAATTTATAAGCATAGATATTATTAATATACAGTATACAGCTTAGAAAATTCTTACAAAATAATATTAAATTACATTAGTTGAAATAAGGCTTTTCTTAAATTTTTTTTCCATTTCACAAAAATCTGCCTTTAATAGTATAATATTGTTAAATTAAATGTATGTGATATGTGAATATGAATTTAATATTTCAAACATCGGGTACCATGGTACAAGGGTACATGTAGTTTAAATTATAACATTGGTATAAAATATAAATAGTATATTATGCATATTATATTATATACCCTGAAATAACAAATCAAAAATATTATTACATAATAAAATACAAATATAATACTCATCCAATTTTTTATGTTATTTAGAAAATGTATTATTGTTTAGAATCAATTAGGTGCCTGTAATGCCGTTTCATATTATGCTTTTCTTTTTTTAAATATCTGCGAGATTATACGTAAATAATTATTAACTACGATGCATGGTCGCTATAATAATATATTGATTAAGCATTGTATAAGAAATATGTAATAATATCTTATGGTTTTAAATTAAAAATCATTATCTAGACTCTAGAGAGTCGTATATTATGATAATATTTAAGGCAGCCTTAGGCTGTACAAATTGTTGGCCACTACAGCTGGACGAGAAAAAAATACGAATCAATTAGCAACCCTTGATTGCCTCATTATGCCTTTTTGGTTTTTTTTTAATGAGAGCTGCCAATTAGAGTAACAATTTATTTTTCAAAACTATACAATAAAATACTAACCTGTTATACATGAGTATGTCTGGTTTCCACAGTCGGTTTGGATTGAGCCTGAGATCCTTGACACCACCATATTCGGAAATGTTCCACCTCATATTGTAATCCACCCATTCCTATAATAATAGAAAATAATTTGTTTTTTTTTATAAATAATTGTTAACATTATAAACAACTAACTTTAATCTAACCCTAAATACGAAATTCACAGATTCCTTAAAACTATTGATATACCTATCTACAAACTATTCTGTCCAAAACCTAAAATTACTTGAGTTCCGTTGATCCCAGAGAGCTTTTGTACATACCAACTATATTCTACTGGGATACTTCTAATGACAAAACCAGATTAAATCGAAGCTTTCACAGGTTGTTTCAGAACATAGAAATTAGTTTTCCGAATAACTTTTCTCAAAGGGGAAACCGTGAATTATGTTATGCGTATTGCTGTCACAACGATATTTTCTCATTTCAGATGAATATGTTTTACTTTATGTTGTACAATACAGTTTTCTATGCAGAGTATTTTTACAATGTACTCAAATTATTATTTTATAAATGTATCTTATTTCAATATGACCTAATAATTAACCTAATGTTTATGACAGTTCTAAATCAAATTGGTATTGTAATTAAAATATTAAATTGTTAATATTTATTAGAACACAAATCTAACAAAAAGTTGTAATTTTTAAAGGTAGATTATGTCAAATATATTAATCTGATGAGCTCTACCCATTGCTTAGTGCACACATATAATAATTATTTTTTCAGAATTTACTCTCCATTACATAAAGTATCAAATTTCCTTTATTTTTAATTGGGTTATGTTTATTTTTACTTTAAAGTGTGTTGGTAAATATGTAAATGTATCAGATAAGTTTTATTTAACAAAAAGCAATATTAATTAGTTATTATTATCGTATAGACGAGTGTTATATAAAATTTAATTATTTAATATTTGTATAAACCAACAGAGTAATATTTTAATAGAACTAATTATTGGTAGCTTCTAACTATTTGGAAAAGTTAAATTTAGGTATTATATATATTATCTCATTAATACTTAGTACTTACTTCACAATCATTATCACATTTTATTCGGTTATAAAAAATATAATTTATATCATTCATATTGTATTATCAATAAAACTATCAGTTTTAAGTTAAGAAAAATGTGCAAAATGTAAAATCAGCGATGATTTAACAATACAGTAGGTAGGTATTCGACTGTAGTATTATCTACTTCATATATTTTAATTATCAATATATTTAAAAAGTTGGAAGCTAAAGTATAAAAGTATAAAAGTGTGAAAATATGTGAGTATTACATTCTAGACGAACCTCTTGGCCAAATATGTTTAGAGGTGTGAGAAAGTGTGTTTAGAAAGGTGACACTTTTCAAATTTTAAAACGATATATCATCAAGTTATAAAAAAAACTCGGAGCTTATGTGTTATGGGCTTTGACCTCATTTTCCTAGTTTTTGCATTTTTATCGACAAATAATGTGACTTATGTGCAATTCGTATGTATCCCAAAGTACTATTTCATACATTAGATTTTCGATAGATTACGTATGCTGAATAAAACTATTAGAGCCCCTTCACTAACCCAAATAATATGTTTTTCGAAACAAACATGGTACTATTATCATATAAAATAAATAGTTTTCTCCTCAGACGTGGGCTTAAAAGTTAAAACCATTAAAATAAAATTATTATGTCATGCAAAAAATTAAAAATAAATTTACCGTAAGTAAATAAATAGATAAATGAATAAAACAAATATAAATTTATCACAAAAAAGTTTCACGGAAGTTTGATTTTCGATTACCTACTTGTAATACTATTTTCTAAATTTCAATAATAAATTATATGAATCGTTTTTCCATAAATTAGGATCGGTTGTTCGACATGAGAAATTTATTCCAATAGTTTTTTTTTCCAATCGCGCAAGTGCGCAACTGATTATGAACATTATATTATATTATGCTGATAATGTTGGTTGTTCTGTTTTATTCACTGGGATTTTCAATCTGAGATTGCATTGATCTCTATTATAGACCTAATTTCATACTCGAAGGTGATTCGTGAGTGACGTGGATAACACGAAAAATCACGAATAAACTGTGTGATCTTGCCACAATAGAAAAAAACTAAATTGTAAACGCGAAAGATACTTACAATTTAAAAAACTGATAACGATAGTAAATATCTACAGAGCACAGAAAAAATTGCTCCACGGGAAACGTTTTCGTAATAATATATTTATATATTATGTGATCGAATCTAAACTCTCAGTAAACAGTGTCTCAACATGTTTCGAATAGGCGTGTGTTTGTACCTAATAATGTATTCACTGAGATTTGACAACCACGAGGTTCAGATTTTATAACGTCCGTAAACACCTTACTGTTTATAAACAAAACGGGCCACGGTATTAAAAGACACTCTATCTTAGTCAGCTAAACAGTAAACACAATACCGATCAGAAATGAAACTAGATCACCGGAAAGGTCTTATACATGGTTTATCTCTATTTTAGATTTTTAAGGTCTATTTTTATTATTACTAATTAGGTATACGATAGTATTTCGTTGCAAAAGTCGACGGTCAAGTTTAGATTTGAATTATAATGTATGAAAAAAAAAATATATCAATGATATAAGGTATATAAGATCATATTGCAAGGAAAATTGAGGATCATAGATATTTATATTTTGTGGCACCAATCTATAGTAGCATGCTACATTTTGTTTTTACTAACACATTGATTTAATTATATTATATACCCGTTGAATAAAATAATACATAATAACTTAACTATTATATAGGCGTAATAGTATGGTAATTTTTTTTGTCAAACCATGATGTTGTTAAATATTTTTTTGGTTTAATGTTTGTTTAACCTAAGGCTTATTTAAATTAGGTACATTCAAGTATGGCATCATTTCGATTAAAATGTATAAATAAAATAATTAACTACCAAAATAAACATTTAAAACTAATCAACAGCTTATTTTAAGCTTTTGTTTTTTCTTTTCTCTTTCTTCATTTAACATGATTAAAATAAACCTTAAATGTTTAGCCCAACCTATTTAGTTATAAGTATGTGAATAAATTTACTTATTCGATCATCATTTATCTTCTGTTAACCTCACTGTGCCTAGGTCTTCATAGATTGTTACAAATAGCAGTTGAAAAATATTAAAATTACATGGGCAGAATTTTTACCCTTGATAAGTATTGTAAAGTTCAATTTTTTTATAACATTTACGAACTTTTAAATTTAAAAAAATGTTTTTTTAGTTCTACTTTTATAGCTAGGATTGAATCGTACAACAAGGTTCCACGTATAGTACGCTATTTTTGTTAACCAAAAATTCTCAAATATATAAAAACACAGTTTTTTTTATAGTTATTTTATATTGAAATTTGGAGAAAATTTCATATTAAGTAACCAAGAATAACGAATTCAGTTTAATTTTGTTGTAATTTTGTAATATTCATTCACTTACCAGCTACCGTATCAATAATAAGTAATAACAATATAAAATATCTACAATGACAAACCGTCAACGCTCAGAAACGTTTTTCGTATACAATGATATTATATCATTGAATTCAACAATGTTTCACTTGTAACCTAATGTACAGTAGAGTAACATCCACTTACCCACTTTTTTATTCTGTAAATTTTCAATTTCACTCTCCAAAAGTACCAAGTAAAACCAATTTTCTATCAGAAGTCAGAACCCACCCTCAAAGTTAAATATCGAAAAATCCTTTCTACTTTATATATCGTATGTATATATACAGAAACATAAAAAAAACATACATATGTATAGTTTTAAACTCAATACATTCAGCGTTCCGTTCAGAATCTTAAATATGAATATTAAAATATGTGCACGAGAATACATGTTTTTATTTATTTATTTGTTTTTTTTTTTATAATAATAATTACGGCCTATTAAAATATACACAATACCATGTCAACATAATTATTTTAATACATTTATCCGTAAATAAAGTCATAAATGCATTTATTAACGAAATATATGACCATTCTCGTATAGTATCTCGAGACGCATATTTTTGTTGAATATTTATTGTATAATTATTTATCCCCCTTTCACAATTGTTGTCATTACAGGTTAGTAAAGCGGTTCGTATTATTTAAAAAGAATCATATACGAATAATTAATTCATTACATTAAGCGGATTAATCAATTGTATTAACAGTCCATTATTATATTTTCACAGTGCGTCTACAGCAACATACCGTTACCCATTATGATGGCTGCAGTTGTAACAGGTGAATTGAAGGTTCAAAGACAGAAGAAGGGCAATAATGTTTCTGCACTTATAAAATTGTTCGAATCGAACCACGATGACTTGGCCCCGAAGCGTAGGCAAATCGTGAGCGACTGTGGACGTTACGCACCGCGTGCAGACGTCACCGGGACGTGGATGCCGGTTCAATCTTGCGGGGATAGATGGCGGGAGAAGAAAAAAGTGGAAAACCCGAGGAAGAAAATCATACCCCGCCCAGGATTTGTAAAGGAACTGATCGCTAGGTTTGGGAGGCTCGACGCAGCCTGAGGCGACCACTGACCAGTAAAAACTAAGCAAAACCTCTGCCCCGGCGTTATGCTCTCCTACCCTATTAGACCGGGCTTTTTACTCTTCCTGGACGAGGTATTATTTTCCTCGTGCTTTCCACTTTTTTCTGCCCCAACGATCCATCCAGATAGATTGGATCAACGTACACTTTCCGGTGAGTCTTGTTCATCATAATAAATTGTGATCGTTATATTTGGTGGAGTGCACGTCTGCCATGCATGCAGGACTGCAATAATTGCAAAAAATAACTATTATGTGTATTGTTTCTTTATAAATAAATATATTGTTCCTATGAATCTTGTATCTCATTTTGTTCAATTATTTGAGCCTGAGAGCAAACGATACTAATCGCACTCGAATAATATATGAGATAAATTTTGCTTCCAACAATACAATATTATGCAATACCTAGTTTTTAACCATTTAGGGAATTTATTTATTTTGTAAGTTCCAATTATATAGTACTATCTACCAGAAACCAACTCTAATATCGAAACATTTATCGACGGTTTTTTAAATTGATTTCTTTTCAAGTTTAATAATATACATTTTATATATTATAAATGAAAATCAAGTAATTATTTATGATAATGGATTATAATAATAAAGTATAAATCCTAAATATTATATATTATTTAAGTACCTAAGATGTGCCGACTAAAAGTCGTCTTAATGTTTTCATTGTGAATAAAACATAATATTATCATTTATTAATATAATATGTAATATAGGTAATATGATAATAATATTATAATTTATAAAATGTTTACTTTGGTAGGATATTTTAGTAATATCAACGACAGCAGGATATTGCGGGGGTTGTTGATAATTCTACGAATTCCACTGTTTAACTGGTAGCTTATGATTGCATCATAATAATATTATCGTGTTCAAGTTATGCACATTTGAGAGGATGCTGAACAGGCATTTGTTTTTTCTGTCTTACAAGTGCGTAACATACCAAATTTACGCTCAGCAGGTCACGTTTGGCTTATTTTGTTTAAAAATTAGAGTGAATTATTATCTGTGTGTGTATGTGGGTTTTTACGATAACAATTCAAATTTTAAGTGAGTTATGAGCATTTAAAATGTACGCTGCATTATATACTCAACACTTGTTAAAAAATTGAACTATCGAAAAAACCCACATACAACCACAGATAATGACGTACTTACCATAAAGTTTCATTATAGGTCGATTCACTATAATTTTTAAACTATCAAAGCTAAAGGTGATCTGGTTGAGCGTACATTTTCTATGTTATGCACTTGTAAGACGGAGATAACAAATGGCTGTGTAGCATATTTCTTAATGTATTTCAATAATACAGTTATGATTACACGGCGTTTCAGATAGGCAATTTAGCTACGCCACTATCATTGGTCCATTTCACAGTATTCCATTATGGTATGAAATATGAATATTATGATCTATTAAAATACATCAAAGTACGGTGTAAGTGAATGTAAGTTAAAGCGAGATGAAATTATTTACAATAAAAAGTATATAATATTTCTATAATGACTCAATTCAATTTTAGGTAATTAAAAATAATTATTATAAATTATACTAGTATTATTATTTTTTGGATAATAACTGTGTACATATATGTATGTATAAATAGTCTTGGATTATTTGAACCATATTTTTTTAAGCACTAAAAAATGTTTATTTAAGGAGTAACAAAATGGGATAAAAAGATTATATATTTTTATTTATTAGCCATGTTTTCCATAGTATAAGTAGGTACGTAATATATTATATAGAGTGATTTATAGTAATATATAATATATTACGTTATGTTGTACGACTGAAAAGTATTATACAAATATGAGTAAAATAAAGGAGTCTTATACCGTTGTATAATTTATTCAACTCATACTATTTTTATTGAACAACAATACTAGCTCGTGGAGTTTATAATTCATACTCAATTATTTTTGTTACATTATCAAGATGTGTTAACCTTTTTAAATAGGAGAAACACTTGGTAATTGGATTATTTCTATAGTGAAGTTTCCTCCCTTGAATAAATCAGAAAATCACAGGTAACTATATAAAGTATTTAATATTTATAACAAGTACAACACGGCTATATTATACAGTAGATGTAATATACAATTAAAATTAAGGTTAAGTTTTTCTCAACTCGTTTTAATTTTATTCTACTCGTATAGCGTGGCAGTCTGTTACGTTTATTTTATATCGGGTTATAATATAAGTAAAAATATTTCAGGATTTTAACTTATACAAAATATATATGTTTTCTTTAGAAAAACTGCTTTGTCGACTGCTTTGATATCATATATGTTATATATTGCATGTAATTGGGTATCTATATTATGTGAGTATTGTGTAAAAGTAGGAAATATAAATCGAAAGGTTTTGTTGTAGGTGAACTCTGCGAAAAATAATCGACGGTAAAATCACATTCATATGCAATCGGAATGGATTTGTGCCAAAATGGGAGGATAATAATATCAGGAAGATGTTGTAAATGACTATTCTACACATGCAGTAAAGGTTACTCGGAGTGAGATAATTTAAATGTATTAACAGTTTGATATCGAAAGCTTAATACATATATAATATAAAGTATTGTACCCACTCGTGTTAGAATTCGAAAACATAAACTATTTCAGTATTGACGTGCATTTTTTAAAATTCAAATCACAACAGTGTATTGTACAAAATGTGTGCTACAAACATGAATTGATTAATAATCTACACGTCATTGTTGTATTGAGCTTAATGCCAGGGCTTGAAGCCAAAAATATTTTTTCCATTTTCGGTTTCGGTTATCGGTATTTAATTTTTCCGATTTTGATTTCGGTCTCGGATATCGGAATTTATTTTTTCTGATTTCATTTTAGATTCTGAGTGAAACGATGAATGTATTGATTTTACAATGATATGTGTGTTTTTTTATTTTTTATTTTTGTGTCTGTCATCACCTTTTAGGACATTAAAGATGATTGGATTTTCTTCAACAGTGTCTTTTGTGATAGGAAAGTGAATCTGGTTGGTATTTTGGGGGATCAAAAGTAAAAAAATTTCCAGTAGTTTTCAAAAGCGCCGTGAAAAACAAAAGAAAAATGAAGGAAAAACGGGAATTTGTACGCAAAATCTGTTTTCGAAAAAATCGATTTTGGTTTAATTTGGTCTTTGAACTCTTAAACAAAGGACCTTAGGTACATGACATTTTGACTGAATGTTTATATTATCATTTTCTATACACCATAACATTTTCCAAATATTTTGACTTATTTTGAGCTGTTTATGGACATTTTCAGGATCATATTTAACATTTAATAATTATTTTGTAGTTAAAAATTTATAAAATCTTCAACTTTTATAGCAAAGGATTGAAAATTTAAAACAAGGGTCCATGTAAATAGGTAAATATATAAATTACTTTATTCACAATAATATCATAAAATATACTTAGTAATATCATAGGCTGACCGGCGGTTTTTGCTCAGAATCGTTTTTTTTATACAATGATATTATATCATTGAATTCAAATTTAAAACAATCCATTACACATTACTGTGACCCACTTGTAACCTACTGTACAGCAGAGCGACTTTTTGGTTTTGGATACCGGTTTTTATTTTTCCGATTTCAATTTCAGTTTTGATTATTGGTATTGATTTTTTTCAATTTTGGTATCGGTTTTATGTTTTAAACTGGTATTCAAAATCGGATTCGAGGCGTTTCTTTTAATCTAAATAATCAAACTATCAATATTTCTTCATGTACTTATGTAATAACTTATAGATACCTAATGAAAGGGATCCAAATTAATTATTGTGCTAGAATACAACATTGCATAATACATCATTAATCATTATGATATGACTTATTAAGTTACAACCAAGCAAATATTATAGTTATATAATTTTATTATAATATTACAATCAATGCACACATTTTTTTTGCTTTCCAACGATAGGTAATAAAACAAAATACCTATATAGATCGTCGACGAATTAATGTTACATCGGCGGGAATGGCACGATACTTAAGCGAACGGACAAGAGCACAAAATATTTGGTTCAATATTTATATAATTCGATGCCCGGATATCGCACTAGTCTGTCACTTTATTGTGATTGTACATTTTCGACAACAGTTATTGAGTTACGCCTGTGGGACGATGCCTCGCTGCTAGGTATCTATACAGACCGCCATATCGTTTGCATAATCTTCGACCTGGGTGCTTTTAAGGATTGGTCGGGCTGATAAATATAACACGAGATTATGAAACCGAGGGGGAAGCCATAACTGTTCTTTGTGGAATACCAGATTGTATATTATTATATTATGAGGTTCGCAGAAGAGTTCTGATTAGAAGTGAAGAGCAAAAGTGCATTCTCTTTGGTAGGATTTTATTTTTAGTAACAAGATTGAGGTTGGTTCAATTTTATTTTAAAAGATCAGCTGTCAGCATGTAGCCTTAACACGACTTCCCTAGACTTGTGAAATGTCTTGAAAATTGACCATGAAGTGTTATATTTTTATTCTAGAGCTGTCGCCATCTAGTCGTTCTTATTATTCTCATGGTATAAAATAACAATTTCAAAGAAATATTTGCCACCGAGTTTATACATATTGTTAAGTTGCAAGGGATATGGTAATACCTAATTAAAAATATTAAAAGAGTAATAAGTACATAATATTTAATAACATGTAATTAAAATACGTAGGATAGGTAGGTATGCAACTATCTAATATTACACATCTAGTTTATTTTGTTATTTTTGTGGATGCTCTTGAAATTATATAAATTGAAAAATCTTTATTATACTTCTTAAAAGTTGCTAAAACTACTGAAGTTCTCCAATATAATTATTAGGTTTTGAAATATTATAATTAAAAAAAGTAATTACCAAAGCTGTTTGGGTAAACCACACTGAAAGATTTTTTTAAATATTTTATAAGCGTGTTAACATATTTTTTTTTTTTAAATATAATT